TGAGGTTGGCCCAGGATCAGGCAGTGTTTCATTCTGTTGTACATAAGGTCGTTATGAGTCGGTACCAACTCGATGGTACCTAACAACAGCAACAACTGCTTCATCTATTATTTTAAGATGCTATTTAGGAGTTGCTTTGGGAATATTTCTTTCCTAGATTCAAATGGATGATACTTCAGATAGATTTGAAAATGTTAATATCTTTTTTCCACAGTCCTGGTGTGGCGCTGTAGGATGAGTACTGGACAATTCACTGGAAGGTTAGTGATTCAAACACACCAGCCATTCCTTGGAAACTCTGTATAGGATCTCTGTGAGTCAGAACCAACTCGAAGGTGCTTAACAAAAACAACAACATATATTTTATAAGATAGATTGATTAATTAGGTTGAAACATTGTGACAGAAATCTTAATGTCCCTACTGTGAACATGCTGACTTAGTGGCTGGTTTCGCTGCCTACTTTGTGGCTTTGAACAACTTGTTGGAAGATTTTAGAGACAGGTACTGGGTCTTAAATTTTGTGTCTCTCCCGAATACCATGCCATATTTTGGTATTTGGTTTTGTGTTGTTAAGTGCCACTGTGTTGGTTCTGACTTATAGCAACCATGTGTAGGGTTTCCGCAGAGTGGCTGGCAGGTTGGAACCACTGACCTTTTGTTCAGCAGTCTATTGCTTATCCATCAGCTCCACACCAGGAATTATTAATTAGGAATTAGGAATTATTAATTAAATAAATGAATGAATGAACTCAGTGTTTTCTGTGCTCTGTTTATGGAAAAGAAGTACATTTTCTTTGCTTCATTTGTTTTCAACATATTGGACATGAATTCTGGTGGCTATAATCTCACATCTATAATCGGTGAATATGAGAACATTTATCTTAATGATAAAGTAGAGAAGCCAAGCTTTTCTAAAGCATGAAGTTGGAGCTTCTATGTGAAAAGTAGTTTTCACTTTCCTGATGCCTCGCTGTTTTTTTTTGCTGTTGTTGGAATTGACATTTTATGTTTTCCTTGCATTTCCCCTCAAGTTACCTTGTATTTTAACAAGAACTTTTTGGAGAAAGAGTTTAGCAGTAATATAAGTATCTGAGCGCTCCATCTTGAGATAGAATTATGTTTACATTAACCCTTCCAAACAAATATTGTGCCAGGTATGGTGTCAGTTTTGCAGAGCTCTTTCTAGAATGATTTTTTTTCAAATAATTTTTTCCAGTTTTTATTGCACCATTATTATATCATCTGTTTATGATTATAGTAAATAAATCCTAATGATTATTTCTATCCTGTGATAATTATTTTGTTTATAAGTGGTAGTGCATGGTTTAACTGATAGTAGCTAATGAATTCTTCAAGAGCTAAGTTATCTGAGCTGGCATACTCCAGTATCCATCACCTGCCTCTGCATGTTCCTACCCAATTTATATTTTTATTTTATTTTTGCTTAGATTCCCTTTCATAAATCTTATAAGTAGAACTTTATGTTTTCCTGAATGTTTCATGTATACAGTTCATAGATAAAAGTTGAGGCAGTGCTAGTATTAACAACAAAACGTATAGAACTAACTGTTTCTTATGGGTTGAGATTGTAGATAGGTAAGCCTAACAATGATGCTCTCACTGCTTGGCTTCATTCTTTGTGACACTGCATTAGTCTAACCTTGATTGTAGCTCCAGAGAAGAGGTACTGGACTGACAGGCAGTTTCTATGGATTTCTTATATAGGTTTCTAGGAACCTAAAGAATGGCTGTAGCCTTCTGGGACATTTTGATTTTACCTGATGACAGGATCCTGGTGATAAAGTATTCAAGGTTTAGCAAAATAGATGTAGCTGTTTCTTTCATAATAACTGGTTTTCCTCAAAGGATTTTCTTCTTTCCTTAGTGAGATTAGTCGCCTGGACCTGGGTCTAAGTGTGGAGGTATGGAACAAAGGACTTATCTGGGACACCATGATGGGGACTGTGTGGATTGCACTGAAGACTATTCGTCAGTCAGATGAGGTCAGTCTGCTTTGCCTGCTTGGAGGTATGGTTCTAGCCCCTGCTCCTACCCATCCTAGCTTCACTTCACCTAGCATTCATCCATGCATTTCAGACTCTTCTGTCTCCTTTCTAATAAGCGGGCATGTAGCCAGCCAGTTCATTCCTATTCTTACCCAGGGACTCAGGGGATTTTATTTAAATGATGTCTTCTGTGTGCCCTATGACTGACCTCATAGGCATCACAACACCTCTTCAGAGTCGTGTGTGTGTGTGTGTGTGTGTGTGTGTGTGTGAGAGAGAGAGAGAGAGAGAGAGAAAGAGAGAAAGAGAGAGGGGGAGGGAGGGAGACAGAGAGAGAGAGAAGAGTGGGAGGGAGAGTGAGGGAAGGAGTGTTACGGTGTGTTTGTGATGTTGGGTGTCTGTGAGTTCTGCATTCCTCGCTAATTCATTGACTGGAGTGTGGGCTTGGGAGTTTCATTGAAGTTCCTTAGGCAGGTGGCTGGGACTTGTTCCTTGCTTGGTTTCTTTGAGTCACCACTACCCAGGGGACTGGTTTTAGACCTTTTGCATGTAAGCCTAATGAGTTTAAGGATCGGTATTTCGTGTTGGCACTCTCTCTATATACCTATTATTTCCAGAATGAGCTCCCAGCCAACTTTCCCAAATTAGACCCTAACTCCGATAGCCTAGTGTCCCTGTAGATACTAGTTAAGTCCTCAGTTATTAAGTGAAAAGTCAGTGTTTCAAATGCACCAATAGCTCTGTAGGAGAAAAGATCTGGTAATCTGCACCTAGAAGTAGTCACAGCTGAGGCAGCACTTTGGCGCAATTCTGCTCTGTCCTACAGGGTCACTGAGTCTGAATTGATAAGACAGTGTACAACTCAGTTTGGATCTGGACAGAAGCTGTTGTATTTCTTTTTGGCTTTCACACAGATTAACCATGATTCTAGCTCCATTTCCTTTATTCCTTTTAGTTCCAACTAGCTCCACTTCCCAAGACAGATGGACGATTTATTTTTGTTGAGATCTCAGTCAGTTCGTCTTGACCAGTAATGTTAGTAACTCTTTACTAGTTAGAAGAAGTAACAAATATCAGTAAGTGACATAAACAATAATTACATATTAAAATTGATCTACAGAAATGCTTAGGTTTTTTTTTGTTTTGTTTTTTAAACTGTTTATTATGAATTGGGTAAGGATTTACAGACAAAATCATCAGCTCTACATTCAGCTAACCATAAACCCTGTTTCATCTCAATGATTCCAGTCCCCTCCCTGCAACAACAATTATCCTGCTACTTTCCTGTTGCTCCCCATTTACATCTGTGTTTCACAGATGAACAAGACTAAAATATTTGATGTATACTTACAAAACAAAATATGTTTATTTAAATGTCCAAAGGGCATATTCTGCCACTCAGGCTCCTGCCCAGAGGCACACAGACACTGTCTTTTCTGTCACCACTTTTCTAGGTAGGGATTTCACATGTTTTTTATGTGCTTCCTTCTTGATGGTCCTGGGGTCACCTGTTCTTGAAATAAAAGATTACCTGCTCCCTCCTTTTAGTGATACATCTTCTACAAATACAATTGTGACAATCACAATTAATCCTCTTAATAGTTATTCACAATTGAGTCGTAAAATCCTATTATCATCATCTCCTATCCCCTTTCACTAGATCCATCTGGGAATGAAGGAAGCTGTTCCTTGGGGATTATACATTACCCCCTTTGTCCTGCAACCAAGCACACTCATTGAAACTACTAAACTAGCCACTTAGTGCCTTTGTAGTCCCACATTTTTATTTTTACTTATTTATTTATTTTAAGTGTTTTATTGTGAATTATGTGATCGTTTACATGGGAGAACATTAGCTTTACATTCATCCTATCATATATTGTTTCATTGCCATGGTTACAGTCCCCTCCATGCGTCATCAACCAACCAAAGGGTAATCCTGCAAGCCTGCCCACTGGTCACCAGCACACAACCCCTCTCCCTCTCTGGGTCTAGAGTCCCCAGCTGTTCCATCTCTCCACGTCGTTGTCTCTGCCTCCATCTCTGGCGTCATTGCTTCTCTGGGTAGGGTCCCGCATTCTGCTTTTCTCCCTTGAAAGTCCCTGGGACCTCTGCTCCTGGACTGCAAAGTCAACCACTCCCCTCATTTTGCTACAAAATGTCTACCTTTACATTTCCAATCCTCATGGTCAGTTCTGATAGCAATCATTCACTATTTGCCACATGAGAGCCATCCCCTCTCCTTTCATCAGCCCCTCCCAGACAGATTGGATACTTCTCCCGTGGAGATTCTGCCTTCCTCTACACCATCTGGATCTAGGCTCCCTCTTGAAAACTTGTGAGCCAGTCCCTTCTTGCCTTTGTAGCCCCCCATTATGGGTAACCAATATCCAAGTTGCTCGTCCCTATGTACCCTGTGTATCGAGGGGGTGGGAATGATTTTTGGAGTAAGGTTTTGTTTCCTCTTTTGAGCTACTGCATCCATAGGTGTAGGTCAGGTTCATCAAATTGTATCAGATTACTCTTTTTTTTGTCTTCTAGTTGAATTCTGATCATCCAGCCATTGAAGCCAGGTCAACTGGGTATTATCTGCAAGTGTGGGTGTTCGTATGCATATGCCCTCTCTTCTAATCCGCTGGATGCTTGACTCTCCACTCTAGTCCTCTGTGGCTATGTCACTGACTCTGGGCCTAGGAGTTCCCAAGTCTTGCCACACTGCTGTAGTCCCACATTTTTAATAGCCAATGTCTACATTTCTCATCCCTTTTTAACCTAGTGCACTGAAGAGATAAGGCTGTTCCTAGATAAGAAGAATCTTTCCATTCTGGTTGGGATTTTGAATCACTGTATTCATAGGCAAAATTCTAGTTCATAAAATTGTAGTAACTTGTATTTGATCTTAGTATCAAGTATCTTTATCTTCATCTTAGTATCAAATATCTTTATCTTCCTCTGTTCAAGTTCTGGTCAACTAAGCATCTGAGCTAGGTCAAATGGGTACTAACTACAAGTTTGGGAGTTTATACATACCTCCCTGAACTTCAGACAGCTGGCTTTTTTATTCTCAGCCCTAACCCCCAGGGGCTAGAGTAGTGCCCATGGGCTCAAGAGTTAACACATCTTCCTAAACTTCATACCAGCCAGCTTCCATACCAGGAAGGCTCTTTTCTCTTTCTCTCAATGTCAACAGGTGCCAATAGAACATGGCCAAACTCAGCCCATGTATTCATTGTTGCCTTTCCCCCACTTTCACTTGTAAGTAGAATCTAGGTGGTCACCAGTGAGCATACTATACTGCTCATGGGCTCCCTTTGAGTTTCAGTCCTTGAAGGGAGTTTTCCAAGATGGACTGAATTTTTCTTTCCTTGATGACTCCAAAGCAAACAGTTTGCTTTTTATGCAGGTCTTTTTTTCAATAAGAATCTTCTGTTCTACCCATTTGACCTAGTTTGGATGGCTTGCTGATCAGAATTTGACTAGAGGAAGATAATGAAGTTTGATACAGGAAGCAAGTGTAAATTGCTACAATTTGATGAACTTGACCTTTGCTTATATATATGCTGTTGTTGTTATGTGCCATCAAGTTGGTACTGACTCATAGTGACCTTATGCACAGCAGAACGAAACACTGCCCGATCCTGGACCAACCTCGCTACTGTTGCCAAGCTTGAGTCCATCGATTCTGCCACTTAGCCAGTCCATCTCGTTGGGAGTTTTCTTCTTTTTTTCTGACCCTCCACCTTACTAAACATGATATCCTTCTACAGTGACTGGTCCCTCCTGACAATATATCCAAAGTATGAGAGACGAAGTTTGGCCATCCTGGCCTCCAAAGAGCGCTCTGGTTGCACTTCTTCCAAAA